TACCATCCCCTTTTGACGATTATTTATCCTTTGGGTCTTCAATGGACACTGCTCGTATTCTGGGTCGTGAGGCACCAAAGATTGCTTCAAGTTCCAATGCTCGGGCAAGGGCTTCGCTACTTTGTCTGAACTTAGACATTTTCAGGTTTTCCTGGATCTTAGAATCTCTGAGACCATCAATGAATGCAGATACTGCCATCTAGTCCTACATGTCTTCCCCAGCTGCAGGAAATGCCAAACTCATTAGCCTTTCAACTTCTGATTCGAATTCTTGTGAACTCTCGCCGGGTTTTTGAATTCTTGATTTAACTTGAGTTCTGAATATTTCTTGTCTGTAATGGTCTCCGAAGCGCAATTTTAACGTCTGACTTAGATGCTGGTAATTCTGTTGGTAGATTGAAGGTATGGACTGAAGAAGGTCTAAGGCAGGTCCTCATAGCGCCACAATCAGTGCTGTAGCTTTTTCTTGATCGTTCCATCCGTTGGTATTTGCAGCAGCTTCAAATTGTCGGATATACAAGGTCCAGGACGTAGAGTCGTCAAAAGTTGGTGGTTTTATCTTCATACTAGAGAATGCTCCAAGACTACCTGGATTGATGGACTGTATTTCTGATTTATTCACCTTAGCTTAAGTGCTTGAACTTGGTCCTCAACTTCTTGTCTTAATTGCCGAACATCGTCTTTAACTTTTTGAACATTGTCTTTAAATTCTTGAACATTGTCTGTAACTTCTTGAACATCGTCTTTAACTTCTTGAACATCTTCTTTAACTTCGGCTTCAACTTCCTTGATCTTTTGTTCCAGGTTAGCGACAGATCCTTGCATGGTTTGAAATATTTTCTTTTTGTCGTTTAGCTTCTTCGTCTTGTTTTTCTTTTTGTCGCCTGACCTCTTTGTCTTTTTTTTCTTGTTGTCGTTTGATCTCTTGAAGTTCCAACATTTTGCGCAAAAGTTCTTCAATTTTTTGCTCTTACATTTTTGCTTGTTGTCTCGTAATAGGCATATACAGAATGTTCTGGAATTTTCCTCAAACTTTCTTCAAATATATTTCTTGGTCTTTGCTTGAAGTTCCAAACACGCCGGTGAAGTCACAAATTGGATAACTTGTTTTATTCTCGAAAAGAATGTTCTAGAATTTTCTTGAAATGTCTTTTCTGAATGTCGATTGATATAGTAAACACGTCGGTGGAGTCACAAATTCGCTATGTCACTTGGTTTCCGAATAGAATTTTCTAGAACTCACCTGAAAATTCACTTTCACAGTCAAAATTGGGAATAACGTCACTTCCGGGGTAATTTACACAATCGGTCAAGTCTCTTTTGGTGATTGTCACTGGTTACACTGACTAACTGTCCCAGTGTTCACTAAGTATCCACACTAGTGTCCGAACTTATTCTGCAATCGGATTTCACTATGTAGTCCTCGAATTATATCGCACTTCTGACACCAATGTCATGGCTCTGGGGTGCGTGACAGAAATCTTGGGTCCGTTTATTCCAAAATCAAAGTACAATTAACACAACAATAATTTTTTCCACGTTACTATACACCCTGACACTAATTAGTTCACTAATTAACTCAAACAACTTAACTCTTTACAACTCTTAACAATATTCACTATCTAAATTGTATAACAGCCAAACTTAAACTTAAAACTACTAACTAATACCGGCCTCTATACATCTGTAATGCATTCCTGTAAAATCTAGAATAAACGCAATATTCTTTTTGCCCGGATGAGGCAGTATTTTCTAGATTTCAAGTTAGATTCTGTACACCATGGCGAAAGTGCACCGGTATAATTTCAATATCTCCAGACGTATTGGCCAGTTTTTTGCTCTTTGGCAGCAGATACAATACCTACTAAACAACAAAGTCGGTAAAATCTTGTAAGGATGCACAATGTTTATAGGGATGTAGCTTGGAAACGGTTGTATCGATTTCGAACAGCATTGCAGGTTTCGAAAGCTTTAGAGGTTCCACGACACTTTTAGGCTACGGCCAAGCTTGTGACCTGTCGCGACCAGGTCGCAGTGATGTGTTGCATTGATTGTTATGTAGCCAGGGGCGCCGGGTTTTAGAAAACCTCATGGGTGCTGATGCTCATGCACCGGATTTGGAGAGGAGGGGGGTTTCTGGGTGCCACGCCCAAAAACATTTATATTAGTGTAGCCCCTTGAATAAAGCCTGTTTTTTTTTATTAAAGATAATTCCCCAAGTCAAAAATGTAGTACCTAACTATGTTGGCAACACAAGCTTTTTTTACGTAAAAAATTTGAAAGCATTGGGTACATTCAGGCGGTCCCAGCGGCTGGCACTGCTTGGTAAGAAGCTCAGCTGAATGTAGATGTAGCTCTGCGTAAAAGCCTAATGTCAGCGACTGAGTGTTTTGCGCAGCGTAGAAAAATGCTGCTGTTCAAAAAGCGGATTACGATTTTTGAGATTTTTCACAATAATGACTTTCGAACTAAAATATATTCCACTCTACTAGAAAATTCATATATGTTGTTGTAACTGGCTAAACTGCGCTGCTAGGGCGAATGGGCAATGCGGATATATTATATATTAGTGAAAAATAAATAAATAATAGGTTATCAAACCATAACCTATTATTTATTTATTTTTCACTAATATATAATATATTAATTTGATATTTGATCCGCTCGTCGCAGCCACGGCCCACTCATTCAACAGAAACGAAGCTACTTTATAACAACGGCCATAACTGCTAAGGACCGGTTTCTCAATGGCGAGTCACCTCCACCTCCGGGTCGGTTTTAACTCCAGGGTAAACGTGTCCAATGCTTACCCTAGGGTTATGCTTAATCCGGGGGTGACTTACTATTGAGAAACTGGCCCTAGGTGGCTCAACTTAGCCGCTGGATCCGCCTTGATCAAATGTACCCATTGACAATTTTACATTGTATCGCCAACATAATTTGCCATCATTTTGACTTTTATCTTTAATTTTGATACAGAATTTAACTTATCTGAACAGTAGTAAATGACACTCATAACACTTCTAACATCTTGATATTTCTTTGGAAAACTAGTGATGGGAAATGTTTTAAAACTTTTGGGGTAAAAAGAGGAAGATCTGGAGCTTATCATACTCAAATTTTAAATTGACTAAGTAAAAAACGACCATGTTAGAAATTTTAGAAAATCTACTTTTGAATAGGACATTGAGCAAAATGCACACTCTCACATTTTGATATTTTTTTGGAAAACTAATGATGGTAAAATTTTTAAACTTTTGGGCTGGAAAGAGGAAGAAAATGAGCTTTCATATTGAAATTTAAAATTCATCCATTGAGGGCCGATACTTTTGATCTCGATTTACGAATAGGACATGTCGTTAAATTCAACAAGGTTTTGCATGGGCCAAGGTCTGTAAGTATGATGTGGTTAGAGCACATTCAAACCCCTGATTATTTTTAGCGGCAGTCAAAGTCAAACTTGAAAAGACAACAAAAGTACCGACACTAAGTGTTATGACGACAAAAACTCTCGCCATAGTTTGTTATGTGGGTGGTCATAGCGTTCAAAACGTCAAAACCTGGCGTTTGATATTTCACAAACACCAAAATCAGTGCCAAAATCATAGTCTGTAAAAAGTGAAGTGATAACATGTTGGACATTGATGAAATTCAAACCCGGCCGCAGTTGTGGAATGTTAAGGTAGAGGATTATGCTAATAGGGACATCAAGGGAAAATTATGGATTGAAGTGAGCAGTACTGGTGGTGCAAAACTGGGATGAGCTCGATAATGCTGATAAAAACAAAAAAGGTAAGCACAAAATGTATTTATATATTTTATTTTCAAACCGTTTCATAATGAGATTATAATAATTATTCTAATCGGAATAAATACACACTATACCCCATACAGTGTCTTGTCAGATTTTGTTCACAGTATATCGGTTATTTGGCCACACTGTTACAATTCACCTATCATATCATACTATGCCCTGCCAAGGTACGCTTCCTGCAGGAGTAATGAAGAACTCAGCGAAAGTGTCTGACTTGTTTAGTGCTTTAACCTGCACTACCTGTGCCTATAATCTAGCATCTCGCAACTCAATGTATCTTCAAATTTGAAACCATCTCTCAACCTAACAAAATTGTGTTAAAGGCTTGCAGCTAAAAGTATGACAGTTGTAAAATCGGGATCGAGGTGTATGGCAATATGAAATATTCGCCACTTGTTCGCTGAAATACCAAAAGCGCACTCGATAAATCTTCTTGCCTTGGACAATCGATAATTGAAAATGCGTTTTTTGTTATCCAGGTCTCTTCTTGCATATAGTCTCATCACATTTTCACTCAAAGCGAAAGCCTCGTCGGCTACGAAAGTAAATGGCATTGATGTATTTGCATTGAAGTTACGTATAGCTGTTTTTTATCTAGAATATTCAACGAACCAGAACATAATTTGTTATTTAAAAGAGATTGTCTAAAAATGTTAGAATCTGCTGACTTGCCATATGCTCCTACATCAACAGTAGTGGAACAATAATTTGCATCAGCTACACCAAGTAAAACAATAGAACAATAATTTTTATAATTAAAAACCTGTGATCCAGAATGATCAGGTTTCACTAATCTCACGTGCTTCCCGTCAATTGCACCGAGACAGTTTGGAAAGTTGGAACGGTTCTCAAAATCTTCGGCTATTTTTATCTAATCTTCTGTGGTTGGCCCTGGCATAAATTTATCCTCTATAGAAGTCCGCATATCTCTCGACATGTTTCCCAAACTATTGTAGAAATTGTACTTTTTCCCAGCCGAAATTTCAAATGATAATGATCTAAATGTATTTCCAGTTACAAGCAACCTGTAAATAAAATAAATTATTCATTCAAAAAAATTCAGAAAATCATTATTCTTCGCTGCGTCTAAAAATTGCAGAAACATGTAATATTAAAATAACCTTTTTAGTAAAAGAGCTTCAAAAAAAAAATGGAAGTCCATACGGGATGCCTTTAGAAGGGAAGTATGTTTACAAAAGCAGTCCAGTGGAAGTGGTGAGGGAACGAGAAAACGCTATATTTATTTCGATCAGTTGCTGTTTTTGCTTGATACCTTGGAAGAACGATCATAAATATTTAATGGTAAATCAGAGCATGCCCAGATAGGAAAATATTTACAAAAATTATTCCTAGAAGTTTTAGCTCATGTCTATTTGATGTTATTTTCAGGACCCTAACAAATTTCAATACTGGGGAGGCAGAAAGTGGTGATGAAACTCAGAATGAAGAGCATGAACCTGCAGACATCATGTCCGTGGCAGGTGATACAGCTAGGGCAACATCAGCTAGTCAAAATCTGCCGCCAATTCGACGACCTGTCAAAAGAAATGCAAACACTTTTGAAGAAGAAGTTTTCCGGCACTTTAAGCCAGGAAGACCTAATGAGAAAGATGATGACGAGTTATTTTTGTTATCCCTTTTGCCAATGTTCAAGAAGCTGGATGATCCTAGAAAACTATGGGCCCGCATGAAATTCATGGAAACAATACTGCAAGCCATCACTTTTGGAATACCTATGCCATCGCCAACAATATCTGATACGAGTAATATTCCTGCACATCCTCATTCATTAATAACAGTCCTGCACATCCCACATTCGATAATACTACTCCTGCTCACCACCCATCAAGCAATAATCCTTCAAATCTCCAATTAACATATCCATCTTTCTTCAATAATATTCCCACCTATCACCCATTGACTAATAATATTCTGGATCATTCCCCAATGACTAGTAATATTTCTGCGTCATGTCCCCAACAAAATAATTCTAATGCTACCCAATCATTAACTTCACCTTTTCCGAGCCGACCATCTCCTGCGGTTGAACCACCAGTAGAATCACCTACATATACAGATTTATAATCGCATTCGGAAGAGTCGGAAGACTCTTTTATTTTTGATATACAGTGTGTCCACTTAAGTTCGCAGCATATGGGAAACTTTTTTGTTATCAATTTTACGAAAAAAAGTTATTCTTTATAAAAGTTTCTGCTTCTTGAAAAAGTAATATTAAACTACTAAAACTTGAAATAGCATGTACAGGGTCAAAAAATAGAAAAATATTCAGGGTGTTTCCTAAGTACGGTTCGTAACTTCAGGATGTGATTCCTCACAATATTTTTAGAAAAAAAGTTCCCATAAACATGTGTCTGGAAATGCCTAGTTTCTGAGATACAGGGTGTCAAAGTTCTAGGAAAAATCCTTTTTTTAGCTCAAAAATCCATTTTCCAATTTTTTTTTCAAATTTGGCAGGTCTGTTTGTGACTGCGAAAGGTATCTTTTGACTATAATATGACTTGCTGAATCTGAAAAAAATATCACAGTTTTTAAAAAGTAGTGACATGCCATTTTTTCTACTTTTACCGTTTTTTACCAAAAAATTTTGTATATTTTTCTATTTTCTGACCACCCTGTACATGCTATTCCAAGTTTTAATAGTTTAATACTATTTTTTCAAGAAGCAGAAACTTTTATAAAGAATAACTTTTTTTCGTAAAATTGATGATAAAAAAGTTTCCCATATGCTGCGAACTTAAGTGGACACACTGTATATATCACTGATTTTTTGTTAGTTTTTGGTTTAAAAGAAGGACGGTTCTCGAACGGTTCAAAAAAATCCCACAGTTTATAATCAACAAAACGACACCGACTCGGCTATCAAAAATGAACTGTGCGATTGTTTTGGACCGTTCTAGAACCGTCCTTTTTTCAAACCAAAACAAATAGCTATTATATACTTCGTTTAAAATGTGTAAACTTAGCAATAAAAATATAAAATATATAAATTTACGTATCTTAAAGTTACTGCAAGCCTCTCTTCAACTGAAATGGTGTTATTAAATCTTGTTGTTTGCCACTCTAAACCGTCTTCAACATAGGAACAAAGTTCGCCAAATGAAGACACACTCATTCTCAAGTATGAAAAAAACCTTTCTTGCTGGTTTCTGAGAATAACAAACAATGTGTGAAACTGTCCACATGTTAAGTCTCTGTGCGTTAACTAGATGAACACTAAATTTTCTTCTTCTCCGCATTTTCTCTCTTATGCAAAAACGGAAAAAAATCATCTCGAGATATTGACCCAAGCCTAACCAATTTTCAAAGAAAACAAAAGGCATACAGACCAATTTGAAAAGGTTTTGAAACAACAATTATCATAATTTGCCTTGTTTGGGGTTTACGATTTTCTCAACCCCTGTATAATGTGAACAGAAAAAGCTAGAGGAACTTCTAAAAAAAAATAAGCTGTCGAAACCTGGAAAGCTGCTCGAAATCGTTACAACCGTTTTCAGCCCTTTAAACATTGTGCTTGCAAGGGGCACTTATCGAAAAACTGGCCAATATGTTGATATATATTGATATTAACTTACTAATCACCTATACGGAAATCCGAAAACAAAAAACATTGCCAATATGGCAGACATCCAAACTTTTTGTACTTTTCTATCAGTCTATTATTCACCCTGTATATAACTTGGGCTTTCGAATATCAAAAACCTCATAAAAAAAAATAATTTAAGAAAAGTTACCATAAATTGAATATGGTGTCTTTGATATGGTGCTAAAAATTGCTTGTCCCGTTTTTTTTGGCGAGCAGTTTACATACGTTAAATAACAATGATGTTCCATTGACAATTTTTAATCTGTCGTTAAGTTTTTACTGTATAATAATATTTATAATTTTCATTTACTTTCCTCATATTTTATTTTTGAAATAACGCTGAAAAAACAGCTTCAAAGAAAGACATAGTTATTGATTATTAATTTTCATATACTTAATATTATTGTTTGTATAAAATCACCCCTATTTATGAGGTACCTACCTATGTAATAAACTAAGGGTGGAAGAGTTATATTTTTAATAAACCCAGCAGAAGAATAGCAGTAGAATTAAGTTAGTTTAATTTCACCTTTCTTAAGTTATAAAGTTTGTTTTTAGAAATTGTTACTAATAGAGGTACTGCTTATCAGTCACGTACGTCGCATAAAATAGTTTGTGGTCAAGTATTTGTTTTGAAATAATAAAGTAATAAACTATTGTTGTGTTTTCAATCAATACTTCCTCATTACTCATTAGTTAGGTGACAAATTTGTTGAACTTTTCGAAATGGCGCAATTCCTTAGATAAAAAATTTATGCATGTGGTTCTGATGTCACCAGGATTGTTTCTAAGATATTCTCGGTTCCGGATTTAGAATTTGTGTGTTTTCAAAAGTGCATTGATTATTTCGATATAATCAGGATTATTGATTTGATCGGGAAAATCGGCATCTATTTCATGTGAAAATCGATCAATCCCATTGTCTATGTCTCCTGGGTTATTTGGGACAGATTGAGTCTCGATAGCATTCAACAGGCAGGCAGGGAAACTCTGATCCGTCGATTGTCTTTTTTCAATCGTGTTCATTGAAGAAGGATAAAAAAACGAACAGCTGGTGATCGGGTTAATCGGATCAGCGTTTCCGATTCGAATTGCTTTATATTCCTCTTTATTGCAATGATGTGTACGTATTTTTTTTTTTTTTAATTTTCTCTTAACTTATTATCAGTAGCAATAAACCAAAGACATTGATAATTGTTCGAAAAAAAATTATAACTGGATTCATATCGTGTTCTCAATTTTGTTATAGGGAGATTCGTGGTTATAGGACTGGAACACTGGGATCAAAAAGAAACTACCTATCAAGTTTTCGGCAATGTTTCGGATTTTTATTAATCCTTTATCAAGCCTTAGACTGTTGTCTCCGGGATCCGTACAGTTGAGAGAAAGGCACCTATTTTCATGTTTTTTATTGGTTTTCGTTAATTTTCAATTTTATGGGGGTAGGTAATAAATGGTAATCAATTTTGATTAATTCGTTTAGTTTTTCTTTGGGTCTGACATCTGACAGAAAACCAATAAAAAACATGAAAATAGGTGCCTTTCTCTCAACTGTACGGATCCCGGAGACAACAGTCTAAGGCTTGATAAAGGATAAATAAAAATCCGATACGTTCCCGAAAACTTGATAATTTCTTTTTGATCCCAGTCCTATAACCCACGAATCTCCCTATAACAAAATTATAACTGATTTCGAAAGCTTGTTGTTTCCTATGAGCAACAAGCTTGAGATAGTTGTTATACAAGTTTTGAACATTTATCAATGTTCGAAGGTTATACTAATAGAAATTTTTTTGACAGAAATGTCCGAGGCAATGTCATAGAGTGAAAAAAATCCTAGAGCTGTTTTGTATAATGTTGAAATGATTGGAGAATTTCGAAAAATAATCAAATTTAATTGGCTGTTAGAACTGTAAAAAAAAAACATCTATTTCGATACCTATTCCATTTCTGCCTTCCTGCAATGTTATCTACGTTCAGATGGAGTAGTATACCTATTCCATTCTAGTCAGGTACGAAGAGATTTAAAAACTTTAATGCTCCGAGAAATGTCATAACGAAAACTTTGGGAGCTTGACATAACTTGAAATCGATTTAATAACTCACCAAACTTTATTAATAGCTGAGAAGTTTCTTTCTTAAACGACGTTTCAAAAATATTTTCTGTAACATACTTCAGAACGACCAAAACGCCTCCTTCTTGGAACAGCAATGGAGATGATATGGGCAACGTTATAAATGAACCAGTCTGCAGGCTACATTATAAACGTCTGCAGACGTTCACTCACATTGTATGGCTACAGATGATAAATCTGTTGGAGTTAGTTAGCTAATCGACCGAAGAACTTGGCTAAGGGTCACAGATTTGGTTTTGCCATATTTGAGAGTCAGCGATCCTAGGATAGCTAGTTTACATGGGCAGAGTTCTTCACGAGGAGAGCATGGGAAGAAATGTTTGTTTTACGTATTGGTACTTTTTGTACGGGTATAATAATTTCATGAGATTCTTTATAATTTTTCAGGTATTTAGTTTTGTGGTGTTTTAGGATAATTTTTAATTTGAAAGGGTACCTACTTGTCTTTGAAATGCCTCTAGAGTTAAATTTTGTAAATTAATTCCAGCGCCTGTATTAACGGTAAAAACAACGCCGACGAATTTTAATGCAAAATTAGGCAAACAAAACTTGTGATGACTGTTTTTCATGAATGAGGGAAAAATTGGAATGTCTATAACTTCATTATGAGTGAAAATTGCATGGGCTGTTTTACCCGTAAAATATTCATTAGGAATGAATTGGGGGTATAGGTACTTGGCATATCAAGCGGTGGATTGATAAAAAAATGCCATTAGAAATTTACAGCCCTAAGCAACATCCTCTTTCAACTTTGAAAGCGCTTTTAAAACTTGCTACTTTTAAAATTTCGTATTCTAAGCAATACAAATCAGAGGTATTATAATTAGTGAGACAAATTATGTCACCGAGTATGTTACATTTTCGAAATTCAGATTTAATTGAAAATTTTGGTATTGAGAATCATCATTTTGAAAATCAGTGTTATCATACACATTGTACATGTAATCAGACGAATAAAATAAATATAATTATTAAATCCTGAAGGATTTGGTTGTTGATAGTCATTGAAATCCTTTGGATAAAAGTAATTGGTTTCGTCTTAACTAGTTTCGTGGATTGAATCAATTTTAGTTGCTTTGTCTGCGTTATTATCTATCAGATAAAGCGGCCACGAATTGATTAGATAATTATTGTGCG